AGATAATATAGAAAATATTAAAAAGATAAATAGATACTGAGATTCTAGTAAGCTTTACAAAGATAGAAATAGTATAATGTAGTGATTAAATAGGTAACTCTTGTAACTACAAGTATTAGATAACTATAGTATATTGTATAAAACTAGGTCAGTTGTATATAAAATATAACAGACTCTAGTAAGTCTTTAATCAAAAATAAAGTAGTTTTAAGAGTACTAATGAGTATCAAAAACTTAGATAAGTAATACTTTAAAATGTTTTTATAATACAAAAAAACTATATATGCAGAGAATTTAAATAAGCAAGGTCTATAATTAGTTTGCAGATATAGCATTTAGTATAGAACTTGTATAGTAATATATAAACAGATTATTTAAATTAGGCATCAAAAGTACACATATGATTAGTTGTAATCTTTAATATAAAAAAGCCTCTAAAGGTATCTATATTCTACAAACTTGAATAAAAAAGTCACAACCTAAAGATAGAGACTTTAAGTTAAAAAAAAAATTAACTAATAATTACTAATAATATTATATACTATGTTACACTAAAATCTATTTTGTAACAACATTTATAATATTATTATTGTTTTATAAACTAAATATTTTTATATAAGTTTTATGTACTTTAGTACAAAAGTACTGTATTTGATATCATAGTATAAAAATTTTAAGTATTTCTTATATGAACATCAAAGTTCTTTATACAAATTCAAGTATTTTTATATAATATTAAATACATTTGTATAAATTTAAGTGTTTTAATATATATTTCAACTCTTTCTAATGATTATCTGAATCAAGTTAGCACTGAAAGTAGATTAAAGACTCTGGCTCCAAAGTGAATAATATTCTTAGTTTTACATTAAGTAAACTTGCTGTCAACAAAACTCAAATACATGATATACCAAGAAGTAGACAAAACTTGAGTGGTTCTTGTCTTGAGTTAAGCTTTTTGTCTAAAGGACTTCTTCATATATTCGGCATCCAAACTAAAAGGATATTTTGAAAGTAAGCAAAGACAACAGTTGTTTGATTAAGAATATTAGAAACAGAAGAAAAAGAAAAACAACTAAAAAAACTCTTTTTAACTTGAACTCTTGCAACAATGATATATCTTCTCTTCATCTTTTTTTTTTAAAAAGTAGAGATTTGGCTCACCTTTATTAAAAGATTGATATTGTATATCATTTTCTTTTGTAGTTATATGCTTGTTTAGAAATGGTGAATAAGGAACACAACAAACATATAAGTTAGCCAATTATGTGAAACAGATCTGAAAAGGATTTAATTTGAAAAGACTAAAAATATATTAAGATATGCATATATTTTGAGACTATGTGTATAATATTTTTTAAAAAATGGTTACAAAAGTTTATAAAGAATTGGACTGTTTAAGTGCACTCCAAACCTTGGCACAGTACTCTACCTACTTGAAGATTTTTCTTATACAAAAAGTGTCTGGCTCAAACTCTGTTTTACAAGTGAATACAATTTTTATTCTGGTTAAGAGTATTTAGTTTCTAAAGAATAGCCATAGTCTATAAAAATATAAAAACATTGTAGTAAGCAGCAATTATAAAATAGAGTTTTATTCTATTAGCAAATTTTTTTCTTTATTCTTCTTATAGATTAGTTTCATTTTCTTTTTGTTAGTTTTATTTTACTTATCATTTTCATTTCTTTTTTTTCTAACTTTAAAATCATTTTCATTTTTTTTTGTTTTTTTCTTCTTTACGAGAAGATGTTTCTGGATTGGTAGTATCTTATTGTAAGATAGAGGTCAGATGAGCCATAATTTTTAGTCCTAACTGAATTAGTGCAACAGGTTACATTTAGATACTATTTGGATAGCTGAATGATGATAGACTTATAAGTTAAATAATATTCTGTATTTACAAATGTAGATACAAATAGTTTAATAAAGTACTACCATGACTGTTTAAGAGAAAAAAATATATATATATATATATATTAAGTGTTTCAAATACAAATAACAAATATTATAAATATTATTTTCAACTACTTTTATATAAAACAACTATAATATATTTAATATTATCTAAACTTTTATTATTCTTGTTAAATAAAAAGATAAAAAATATCTTTTTTTTTTTTTTATCAATTTTAAGTTTTTATATTTTAATCCAGATACTATTATCTTTTTAGTTTAAAATAGCAATCTTGCCTATATGTCTTTTATTAAATAATATATAATTATATGTTTATACAATAGTTTATTAATGAAAGTATAATTAACTATATAGGAGAAAGTTAATAAAAAAGAGACAAATTTTTTTTAAATAAAAGTTTTTTTAACTTTAAGCTTAAATATCTTAATAACTATTTTATTAAATTTGATAAACTTTTTTTATTTTAGTTTTATATAATTTCAAGATTAAAATAAAAATATTTTTAGCAGATTTGATTAAATAATTGTTGGGTTGTTTAAATTTAAAAATTAAAAAAATTTTACTAAAAATAATTTCTTTTTTTTATTGACTCACCTTCATATATATAACTTTAGTTATTATCTAATTAAGAGTTTCAGCTATAGGTTATCTAATAGATACTATATCTAAGATCTGATTCTAAATCTCTTTTTGATTTTTAATACTATTTAAATATATGCAATACTTATATTACTATTGTAATGACATATTAGATTAAAACTATTTTAGTTATTATTTATATCAAATTGTCACCTTATTAGATGTTATTAAGTATTTATATTGGGGTGTGACAACCTAGTGAAGTGGTCAGGTTGTCAACTTCCCAAGTGGTAGGTTGGGTGTTCAAATCCTATCGATGTCCAAAATTTAGATAATCACCTATATAATCTGGTATTACAGCAACTGTTTCTAACGATTGGATTAAGATACCTGTAATTATGATCACATCAGCATAACTGGCAGGTCATAGGACATCTGTGTAACTCATTACACAGAGGAATGCAAACCAACAAATCAGGTGGTACAAACTCAAGATAAGTCATTGTGTCCATGTAAATTCGTAGAAATTGGGGAACAAGAAGCCTATTTGGGAAGACTTGAATAGAGAGATAACACAGATCTTCAACAGTACTATTATAAAGACTAGATCTAAAAAATGGATACCAATGCTGAAGTAGCCAGACAGGCAAGAACCTCTGAGTTGGGAGTCTCAGAGATACCACCAACCAGGCTGCCAGATTGGACCAAAGGAAAAGAATATCGAACTGACCCAATATACCAATGGACTGGTTGTAGTCTTACACAGGCTATCTGGATTGAAAGCTTGGTAAAAGAAGCAGAGGTATACTAAAGTACTAGAGATATGCTATGAAGTAGGTATTGGGGTCTGTATGAACTCTACAAGGGCATAGCAGTTTAATGATTAGCCCTGACTAAAAGTGTTGGTTCTGCCATAGCAATATTCAGGTTAGCTGCAACAATGGGTAAACAGCAAGCTCTGGAAGGTTTACCTTGAGAATAACTATCCTAAAGTTAAGATGAAGGATCCAGGCTTGACCTAGTGAAGTAACATGAGACAGGTTCAGAGAGTTTAAATAGAACATCCAAGCAGAGGTGTTAGATATGACAATTGGTAGGAAACATTAGGCGAACTCCTTAAATAGATAATATAAAAAGTTATACGAGTGGCCAATTGTATACTCTTTCTGTAGTAGCTTCTTACAGAACTATATTCCTAAAAATATGTTAATAAAGTCAAAAGACCAAAAAGATCACCTTAACACCAAAAAAAAAAAAAAAATTAAGTATTTATATTCTTTCAAATTTATCCTTAATGCAAACTTATTAAATATAATATCAAGATTACTTTTTAGATTTATCTAATTTTAGTATATTTCATATTCACTAAACTAATATTAGTATTAGAGGTGTTTGAATTTTAGTAAGTTTATTTCTTTTTTGTAGCTTTTTTTTATGTTTACTATATCACTTGTTAGTGCACCTTCTCTTTATTCCTGATATGTTCATTATTTTTCTCATATTGAACATCAACTCTTCATATTGGAAAACTTTTTTTTGAAAACTTTCTTATATATTGATCTTCTATTTATATAGATTTAATCACAAAGCTTCATATACATTCATATGCTTTTGTAGATTACAAAGTTTGTTTTTAGCTAGAATTGAATTATTAATCTTGTCTGTGAAAAAAAAAGTGCCTAAATCACTAGGCTACAGAACCTTATCTTCTATTTTTTTAACTTATAAAGTATAATATTTTTTTTTAAGAATAATTTTTACAGACAAGATTATTATTATATTTTTATTAATAAAAGTTAATCTATATATTGTTATTATTTTAAACTGTTTGTTTGCTACTATATAATAAAATAAACTACTATACTTCTATTCTGTATAGTTATTTACTATACTAAATAATCTTATTACTTGGTTATATTGTACTAAAAAAACTGCAACTTTAATAAACTGTTATATAAAATATTTAAAAAACCTTATTCTAATTTTAAATTTAACTTTAATTCTCTATTTTTATTAAAAATTTAAATAAAAATTTATAGGTTAATTAAAATTAAATAAATTTTTAAAAATATTACTTTAAATAATAAGCAAGCTATACAAAGTTATACGTACTTTAAACCAGCTTAAGCAGGTTTGATTTTAAAATTTAACATTCATGCGTAATAAAAGTTTTTTTTTATTAAATGCAGTTTTTTCTAAATTATAACCTTTTTGTACAAAATTATCATGTTAAAATTATTTATTTTTAAGAGACCTGTTGCTTGTGATTTATATGTCTTAAATTGCGACTACACTTATATCCCAAATTTTTACCTCAAATTACTGCGCAAATCAATAGCTGTCTTTCTATTTAATTAACTACTAAAATCACAAACTAGTTTTTTTTAAGTTATATATATTTAGCATAACACTTCTCTTTTTGCTATTATAAGAAACTCTTTATTTTTTTTTGCACTATAAAAATTTTTTGAGACATCTTAATCACCAATTGAGGTCATTGTTATGTTATATTAAATTATTTTCTACATTTTCTTCAATTATTGGCTCTTCAACAGAATTTTTCTTCTCGGTTATTCGTTCATTCTTTATTGTACTACCATTATTCTTCACACATAATAGGTCTTGGGGATCATATGTGAGTTTATCATCATTTCTGGGAGGACATTGCGAAATTTTCGAGTGAAACTTGCGTCCTCGCCGAATTAATTCTTCTGTCGATACAACTCTTCCCCAAAGATCCATAACTGGTAAATCCTTGTAGCTTGGCAAATGACCATCAGGTAGTCCTTCCAATAAAATATCCTCTTTCATCAGTGGAAGGAGCCATAACCTTTTTCTCTCTCCTGAGAGATGAAAATGAACACCTTTCTCAGCATGATTAGTGGAAAAGCTGACAGAATCTTTATAATTAGGATAGAGCATTACGTAGCCACGAGAATACGCAAGCTCGATAAGATAACGTTTCCAAGATTTACCCCAACTATTTGATCTACTATTTGGAACAACTACCTTACGTTGTCTTTTATTTCTTAATCTAGCATTTTGATAAGTATGAAATTCGCGCCATATTTCAGGGAAAAATAAAGCACCCCAACTACAAGGGTTTTGACTAAGATATGGAGATTGGTTTGGGTATTTTGTGTCTTTCAAAACGTGAGCAGGATTAAATGGTCTACGACCAGCCGCATGTATTTCATTGAATTTTGTATCGTAAAGACTGACTCCATACATTCTGCCGGATAAACTCCGGTCAACACCATATTTATATTTTAAGATTGTGTATTTTGACCATACGTAGAAGAACGGAGAAATCTCAATATCATCTTCTAATATTACTGCATATTCATCATTGGTTGTAGGATAATAAGACTCCACCACGGAAGCTATCAAACCACCTTGTACTACGCGATGTCGAACGCTCAAATAACCAAAAGGCCATTTAAATGTTTGACAATATTTAATGGTAACAGGATCAGCCTTTCGATCAACATTTATAGTGAGATATACATCGTCACCAAAATAAATGGATGAATTGAGAGATTGCATGAGGCGCTCTAGAGATTCAGGGCGATTTTGTGTGATTACTTGTATCTGAATATTTGGTGTATTCCAATCTGTGATATAAAAGATATAATAAAAATGAATAAAGAATAAACCAAGAAATCGAATATAAAAAGAGTCAATAATAATATCACAAACTTTTAAGCGCCTCGATAGATAAATCAGTTATCCACATTAAATGTTTCGTATGCTCAATGGGTATTGCAATCTTTGTAATACTGATTGTTTGAGAAGCGGCAACAAACGCGGCATTAACACCACGCATCGCTTCATTTTCAGGATCTTTTATATAAATCAAAACATCTGGCCGAATTTGACCCAACACATGACTTATTCCTTGAAATACCAACGGTAAGATATTTTCGTTGACAGAAATACCTAGGTCGTATACGGACACGTCACAATTTGGAACTAAAGTATTGAGCCTTATTAATTTTGCACCGCTTATTCCACGACCCTGGCCAGTAACAATTACATGTGTGTATACATTTTCTGTCCTCTTAGTCAGTTTACAATAAATAGGCAGTAAACTGTTTGCCTGTTGATCTCCATCAATGACAACTACGATGTTACTAATATTACCGATATTCGTTTTATGTTTGCTGAATTCCTGAATATGTAAGGAAGTTGGATTGATATGGAAACTATTTAGGTGACTTAATAGTATCGCGATTAGAAACGCAAGTAACAAACACGCAATGATATTCCTTGCGATTCTTCGAAATGTACAAATTGGGTAAGTTTGTTTCTGGTATGACGAACGGTATAGAAGAGAGTAAGCCATAGTTATAGCTTCTCCAGGAAATAGGAAAAAAGTTTAAAGAAAGAATAGTGATGACCAGTCGGTCGTAGGAGAGGAGAGGGTTAGAAAAATGATCGAAATATTAAGGAACGGTCTGACCTCTATAAATGCATCAGAAATTTCAATTTATTTATGCATGGTATTCTAAACAGTCAGGTCCCCTTGGAGCCAAAGGCAAGTGCGTATTTATTACCAGCTATTGCAGTTATTGCATACAGTACTCCGTGTGACGCATGATAAAAAGGTAAAAATCACGTGAATTATGTGATATAAATAATACTTTTAAAATTGATCTAGGTTTATTTATCACGCCGAGCACTGTATTCGGTAATATACCTTTATAAGATAACTCCTTTCTAATTGGTCGTTGTAAAGTTGTATTTATATAGACTTCAAGAATGTAACATTTCACAAATGAAAAATAAAGACTGTTTCTATTACTGTAAAACGCCTTCTTATATTCTCTCGACAAATTTGGAATATTCGGAATTGATAATAATTTAATTGATAATTATTATTATCTAATTTGGTCTTGGGTTGAATTGGTTCTATAGGTTGAATGTATTTGGATGAATAATTTTAAACAAGATCGTCAACTCGTGACTCGAGTTTTGTTATGTATGTAATTTTTAACCCGGAGTAAAAATATATTAGACACAATTGTTAAGATTCCAGATCGGGCAAATTTGCCTATAAATTTTGGTAAATAATGGTGTAAGCCGCTATCGCTACGTATATAATATGAGAAAAGGGACCAAATTTTAATACGTATAAAAAGTTTGGCGAAAAATTGAATTTTAGATTATAAATTTTATAATAAATTATAAGAAAATACACACTTTAAAGAGTGTTATACTGCAAAATTTTATTAAGACAGCAAAAAAAAAAATATTATTTTGAAAAAATAATTAATTTGGTCTCTTTTTCATTAGCAAGACTAATTGCAGAGCTTTTAGCCAATACTTATTTCTAATGACATTTCACATAACTTACTTAATCAAATAATTAACTTTATTTGAATTTCAAGATATATATTTTGTTTGATTTTAAAAAAATTTTACTAATAATTTAACAAATTATACATACTGTTATATATAGTATAATAATTTAATGATTAGTTAATAATCTTTAAATTTTAGTTATAGTTATACTGTATTAAATAGCTATATATATTTTTTATGTGCAATTTAAAAATAAATAACTCCACCACACTAACCTTAATATTCTGCGGGAGGTAGGGTTGTCAAATTACCGTAATTTTGTGCAAGTTTTCAGTATGTAACATGATTTTCATGTAATTTGTAGATTCATATGTACATCGATTTGGTCAGTGCAGAATCTACTGTAGTTCAATAATGCTAGCTGAGTTTTTCATAGTGCCGGTACTATATATTATGTGTGAAATTTACATGAAATCCATGTTACGTGAAATTACATGTATTGTATGTTTGTAAAATGTAGGATCAAAATAGAAATGAAAAGTTTTTTTTTATGAAGATATAGAACAAGTTATTCCAGTTCTAATTATTCAAATTGATAGATCGCATTCCAACTATAGATGCCGGTGAAACTAATATAGCAGCCAATCAGATTTTAGATAGCCACCAGTTCTATAATTCCGATTTTTACTATGAAATTTATACATACCCATCTACCACTTATATGACAATCAAAATTTCTAACTATATAAAGTTAACATCTTATGGTTTCTAATGGAAGTTGTAATTTAAAACTATTTATAAAACTATAAGAACCATAATTGCTGTATTTAATATATTTTATTATATGGAATTTAGTACGGTGCAATATACGTATTGCATTCCTATTATATGGACTATTAATCTTGTATAACAAATAATTAAATTTTTATCAAAACAAAAAATAAATTTTAATTAACATTAGGTTAAAATTAAAATCTAAGATAAGACAAGGATATAATTTGTACCAAAATTTTACGGAAAATTTTTTTATTAGAACTCCAAAGGCAGTTTTAATCAAAATCTTAAATAATAATATTTTGCAGGTATCGTTAGTTGAAAAACCAACTAGTTGACAACTTTCCAACTAATCGATTTTGAAAATTTTGAAACTAGTTGATTAACCATCAACTAGTTAAATTCCGAGATATTCCATCTATTCAGGCTGGTTTCTTTAGTTTGATTGGCCAATCAACAAATTTAGTCGCATGATAGGAAAGTTGATTAGTTGCAACTATAGTTGGCAACTAATCGATTAGAAGAATTTTTACCAACTTGGAACACGATTTGCAGGTATAATAAATTATTAAGCCCTCATTATATTTTATTATAAAAATCTTCCCCTGTTAATATTCTTCTATAGTAAGTTTAATAGTTAAAAAAAAATAATAATAATAAACAAAATAATAGTAATACAATTTATAGCATTTAATATTTATAAATAATTATAACAAGTTTTTCACTTGTGCTGAACTAATTTATTTATTCTTAAAGAATAATAAGTTAAATAACAGATAAAATTGATTCTTCAAGCTCATATTTTAATCTGAACATTACTTATTTATTTCTTTTTTAGGTTTAATAAACACCATGTACCATTCATCTTCGACAGGTTCCTTAAATCCAGGTGCGGTAATAGAAACTTCTTGCTCAGCAGCACCATTATCTCCAGCTTTTAACATTTTTACTCTTGGCAATTTAACTTTTCCAGGCGCTAAAGGAAAACAATTAGCTTTGAAATAATACGTTGATAACGATGATACAATGAAATATGTTTGTTTATATCCTGAAAATACAAAAGCATCATTGACTTCAACTGTTACATGAACTCGAACCGGCGCAGTTGCCCAATTAATGATCTTAAATGTGAGTGTAAAAATTTGTCCAACAATAAGGTTTGACGGTATATCTGCGTAGATGTATTATACAAATTAAATAGATATATTTCATTGTGTTGCAGAATAAAGAATATAAATGTTACCTAAGATAGCAGATAGCTCTGATTCATATCTTTCAAGCTGGGGCACCATCATTGTTGTTTCTGTAAACGGAACGGAAATGTCTCCAAAACGTTTATTCCTAAATAATAATAAACTTCAGTCGTTTAAACAAATGTATAAATACAAATATCATTTTTTACCTCTTCCATTGAATATCAAGTAGTCCTATGTCCACACTTTTGTTTGAAGATGTATCATTCAAAATTGTCAACTCCAACAAGTAATTGACATTAAATATATAACCTTGGCGCCATACTGAAAATAACTTATAAGTTAATGCATTAAAAACAATTGCATGAATTTTATTAACCTACCTTGTTCTAAGGATTCACTATCTAATTCAACTGAAGATGAAATAATCTCAATCTTCGTTTGAGCGTTTGCTTGATCCAGCTACAAAATGTATTATAAAACATATTAAACCCATTATATTAAAAAACGAAATTAAAGTACGACCATATTTATGCCTCACCAAAATTAAATCTATTCCAGATACACAAATATCCCACGGTCCAACGCTGGTGATTTTGGCAACCAAAAAATGCCGTTCTATTCGATCCAATGATGAAGTTTCTCGTATATTACCAAATTCTTCTCCTTGAGGAGAAATGTTAAAAACGACAGAAAAAGGCGCTATGAACGGTATTCGGAATTCTTCTTTCTTTTCAATTCCATTTTGGATGGGTGTTGGTGTTGAAGGTATTAAAGACGAAGTTGAGTACAATACCTAACAACAAATTTCGAATCAAGATGTATGAATAAAAGGAAATTTTAATAATATTAATAAAAATGTAATAAATCATGTCACTCACGGTAAGGCGAAGAGTCCGCAGATTTGTGAATTTTTTTCCAATAATGTATATGGTTTTGACACATGATCCCTTTGAAGAAATCACTCCAAGATCAATATCTTTCAGATGATTTGTCACATTCAAATTAGTATCAAAAACAACATCTTCAGATTCTAAATTGATGAGCGACTCAGTCAGAAAACTCCAAAAGATAACAATAACATAAACCAGTAGACTATTATGAATGTACCTTCGGAATCTGAAATAAGTTCTGCATTCAACATTGCTTTGATATCTTCAGATTCTAAATTTAATATGGTGAGCTGTATTGGATAGTGTTCATCCAATAAAGCAGGTGCCGAGTGATTAACCTTTATATCGAGCTTGGCTTGTTTTTGTGTTACCCTAAGAAGAGTATTTTGTAAGTTGAAAGATTCATTTGTTTGCATACAAGAATTATAAAACATACTTTATCGTAGCACGGTCACCAGATCCTTCGATATTCATGAAAGATGGGTTTTTGACTAAAGGTATGTATAACCCAGATAGATAATTTTAATTTGTGCCATTTAGAGACGTGTAGTTCTACCGTAATTATATAACTGACAGACCTTGTTCACCATCAGAAATTGGTTCAAATTGCAACCATTTGCGCTTCATGGGTTCTTCTCGTAACGTATTTACATCAAATCGGAGCTCGATTTTCCAATTTTCTGATAAGAATCCCAGTGTCACAACTTGAAGCTAGGTACATGAACACGCGAAAAATATCAACTATGTCTCTTATTTGGATTACAAGACTGAAAAAAAAATTTCATTACTTGGAGATCGCCACTTTCTTTTGGAACAAGAAGGCCTTCAAAAATTTTTGTTGAACCTTTACGAAAAGTCAAATCGACATTCTTGACCCATACATAGCCTTCACCGTTCACTTCTTTTCGTAGACATTCTTTACAATTTATCCATTGTAATTTTGTATCATTGGATTCATCGTTAGAGTTATGGGTAAAGTAATGGTTAAAATTCGCGTCGTTAAAAGATAGTCGTAAATATGTAAATTGTAAAGCTAATGGTGGTGTATCTAATGGTGTTATAAAAGTAATTTGAAATGGTGTAGGAGTTGCAACAAATGTTGAAGGCTCTTTAAATTGTACATAACAAGTTACTGTATCCAAAAGTAATAATGGTTAAGGTCCGAAAATTTAAAAACTTTGAAACATAATTGTCAATTAAATGGCGGACGAAAGTACGACACGCGTTGTCCTCATGGTAACACAACCATGGAGGTATTAAAAAAAAAATAACGGACGAAGGATACAAAACGAATTTATCTCATTCATGTCTAATACAACTTGCCGAAAGTTGACAAAGCTTGGAATTTCGGTCTTTTTAAAATCAGAAATTTCATTATAGGAAAGATTAATATCAGATCACAACAAAATAAATAAATAATAATAGTAACAATCATAATATGGGACAATTTACCTTAAATATTATGTTCATCAATTTGTTTTGAATTTCTATCCTTTTTTGTTCACTCATATGAAATTCTATTAATACAAGTAATTAATACGATATTCGAGATTAGCAAGATCAAAATTTTCGTTCAACCAAACTTACTGTCAGACAAAAGCTCAATTAAATATTCAACAACATTGTCCCAGGTTCCAGATTCTTTTGCACATTTCAGAGACCAATTCAAAATTGATTCAAGAATCGTGTGCCAATCTTCTTTGCGGTATGTTTTGGCTATACGTTCAAAAAATCTGAATCAAAAAATGTATGTCACATTAGTTTGTCGATCTAATAAGCTCAAATGTAATACCAAAATATACTACTGACTTTAATGCCATATCGTATTTTCTTGCTTCAAAATAGGTTCCAGCAATTTCAGAAGCCAAGTAGAGTGTCATACGCCCTGCCTTCTGTTTTTTGAATTGCTCATAACTCTTTGTAAGTAATTCTATTGTCAGTGTTGAATGATCAATATTTCTTTCTGCTTCAAGGACGGATGATGGAAACTTCAAAGCATCACCACTTGCTTGTATTATCTATAAAATAGATAGTCGTTTAAATTTCGAGATTTCGAGGTTGCAAATTAACATATAATACAGTTTGCTTTTGGGCAATATTCTCATACTAACCTTTTCAACAGCCAAAAACTTTTTTCTCCTCACAGAGTTACACTGCGCAGCAGAATGATAATAAAACCCGGGGTGCTGAAGAACCATTGTTGGATTAACACCAGAACCTGCCATAGGACTATTTGATGCGCCACCAAATCGATAGTCCGCTGATGACGTAGTATGAAATATTGTAGTTGGATCGGGTATTATAAATCCAGATCTAGTAGCTATTTCCAACACATCGCCAAAAACTCGATATTGCTTTGATAACCACGACCAATATTCAAAAGTATCATCACCAATTTCCAAAGTATTGCACAATCGCTTAAAAGTTGTAATGTGTCTGTTTAACTGAGCCAATGCAGCGGAGGGCGCATCAATATATAGGTTCAACTTGCAAATCTGTCATAAATATTACTTGTAAATATAAATATAGCGATATAATTATTTAAAAGTAATATTAACATACCTTTAAATTTATGCAATCAGCCAAAATCCTGGCTTCAACCCATCGTTTACTACGTATTGGTAAACCAGGAGCTCCAGGTGTAATTGCTGACTGTGGTGCAAAAAAGTCTACAAGAAGGGTGTAAGCTGACTCATAATAACTATATAAGAAAAACTATAAGCGCAAAATTTTAATAATATAAGTAAAAGTACACAATAATACAAACAGAGAACTTACTGTATTGATGCGTCTATTTCTTGCCGAAACTCAGCAAAGGTAGCCATTTTGTAATCATAACGAAACATCCATCCTTGAATACTTAAAGGAGCAGGTGCTGATGAATGGTAATCAGAAGACGGACGAATGTAACCAGCAGTGGCAGGAGAAGGTAATCTAGTTCGTTTTCTTTTAACTCGTTTACCGTGCTCACGATAATAATTCAAGCTATGTTCATAGAGACCTTTTTGCAAGCTTATCATATTTACAAGCTCGTTAATACTTTGTTGAAAAAATAATTTAAGTGGTAGATCGCAGTTGAAGGGTATATAAATTTCATAGTAAAAATCGGCGGAAAATTACTATTACTTTCATATAATGTTGGAATGCCGAAAGTATCTGGCATTATGTAAAAATCATATAATTATAGAGAAAATGTCAATAGCTCGCGATCTACCGAACCAATTTGAATAATTCTACCGCTATTAGAACCGGAATGACTTGTTATATAATCTTTGTTAGAAACTCAAGAAAGGTTTACTTGGCATGAAAAAACTTTTCATTGTAAGCTAGCTGTATTCCAACCCTATAGAAAAACCATATCAACTTCCGGTAATTTTTACTATTAAATTCACTATTTTTATACCCTCTAACCACGATTTACCTCTTAAATTAATTTTCAAAAAAAAAATAAAATCTGACCTGGACGTACGTTGTCACGAACTCTGTAATATCTCTATCCGGTGTAAGAGCAAAAAAGCAATTTCTTGCATCTAGGCCACTTGCTTTTCGAATATATCCTAATCTTTCTTCGGTTAATGGATCCTCTAGAATAAAAACATATGATTGTATGAATTATACCGACGATATTATAAAAAGAATCACAATAGATGATGGCACACCTGAGTGTTGCGCCTTGAGTAATATTACGGCAGCAAATCTAATGCCTCTTTCATAGAGAGATTTCCTATCAATATGAATTTATGTTAATAACTGACTCAATACCAATTGACTTTTCCTACTTATATTAATAAGCCAAGCTCACCTCTTTTCATTTATTTCCAATGCCAAAATTCCATCTTTCTCTTTTTCGATGGGTTCAATCGATCCAAATAGTTCTGGAGATGTCATAGATTCATCTTTTTCTTTTATTGACCCACCCATAGATCGATGCCACAAATCATAAAATCCCACTACTACACTTGGTAACATTTCACGATGTTTGCGAACCCATGCTGGAGGAATTAAACCATCAGGAAAAACAGGCGAGCCCGGTGTAAGAGGTGAAAGAGGTGAATGTGGAATAGTCGTGGTTGAGTGGTGTGAAGGTTGTGGGGATCGCACCATAGGCTTTCGAGGAGGAAATTGATAATTCTACATTGTTAAAAATTTAATAGTTTACACAATCAATTTCGGTTTTATAAATTTGACATTTGCAGTATAACGATTACATAAAACGATTCATATAAATCTTAGTTATCTATGCAATGTTTGCATAACCGATCCGCAATAACATATATCTTACGAAAACCTAAATCTGTTGATTATAAGAATTGAAATAATAGGCATTTTAAAATCATACTTTGTCTACTGCCACTACGTGAAACATGGTGCCAGTGTTCTTCCCAAACTCCCAAACTCCAGCCTGACTTTTTGCCGTTAGTTGAGTAAGCAAATTCTTTGCTATTTGCTGTCTCGTTAAAGCAAAAGCCGAGTTGTTACTTGTAGAACTTTGCCGTGAATGCGTTGACTTGGAAGAGGCAGGCGAAGACACAGTGGTTTGCTCAACGAGATCTTTCGCTATACCTAAACCAAATACTACCATCAAAGGTACATGTTGTAGAATAAATTCATGAGGATAGCTATCCATGATGTAAAAAATTCGAAAAACTCGTAAGCGTGAATGGTAGTATGATTAAAGAATAAGATCAAGGTTCAGGGCGTGAATCTTAGAAATTCGGACAATAAATTCTGTAAATTCTGAAGACTTTCGTTAAAGCATAAAATATAAATGCAATAAGGTCGAGATCAAAATTTTTTGTAGAAAAACTGGTCTTCATGTGAATTCCAGTAAATTTTTCTGTTACTGTGGTATAGTTCATAGGAGGAAGATCGTCTAATTGGTCAGATTTGTGTCGATCCTGCATATGATCGAAGTCACCTGATTGGCCAATTAATATAATGATAACACATTAACGTTAACATTAATCTCAATTTTAGTTTTTTAGGGTTAGGGTTAGTTGGCACGTGATGACTATTTTAAATTTAATTTATTTATTTTTGGTCATAGGTTAAGAGCCTTTACCAACATTAAATAAGTGAATTAATCATGTGACAACAGTTAAATGATCTTCTACGCGTGTGATTCGATGCAATGTAACAATAATAATACATAATTAGGGTTGGCATGGACTGGTCAATGGTCAAGTTTGACCAGACTAGTTTGATCAATTTGACCAGTTGGTCAAAGGGTTTAGTATTGGTCAAATTGGTCAAATAATATATAAAATATATAAATATATTTGTATATTAAAATTATTTATTTAATAGGCTAAACCATTTGACCAATTTGACCAGACCAGTTCGACCAACAAATTTTTGGTTGACCAGTGATTTGACCAAGTCTGAACAGGAGGAACCATCGATGTTACACACCTGATTCTTCACCCGGTGTGCAACATATAAAAAAAATTATTTTACAATACAAAATCAATTCGCTAGTACATGTTATAATTATAATCTCATACCATTTTATTATAATAAAAATGATGTGAGATTATAATCATAACATGTACTAGTGAATTGATTTGGTATTGTAAAATGATTTTTTTATATGTGCACACCGGGTGAAGAATCAGTTGTGTAACATTGACAGTTCCTCCTATTCCAAGTCTGTACATAATATATTTAAGGATAAAGTACATGTAGATTATTTGTCATATGATTTATGCAATAAATTTAGATTTATATAATAAGCAAAGATATGGTACTAATAAAATTTTTACCATTTTTAGAATATATAAATTAAAATAGTTTATTTTTTTTTTTTTTTTGGTATTAAGGTGAGGCCTTGCTTATATCTTTATTAATAATTTAAAATAGTTACATGTATAT